TTTGGTCGAGGTTTACGTGAAGAATTAGACAACGGAGTTTTGTATATATCAATTTTGAAGGATATAGTGTTTTGTCTTCTAATTAATTGGATGTTTTCTATTTTGTACAAATGTATAGAATTCTTATGTTTCATGGCCATTTTAATCAATTTGTAGTTCAATAAAATTCATCTTAAAAAAATAGTGTAAATTTGAAATACTTACTTTAAAAAACCATTTTCAGGAAATTTAAGTTGAGAACAAGTTTTTTTTTAATAAAGAAGAGAACAAGTTTTTGTTAGCTGTAACCTAATATAACTAAGATCCGCCATGTTAGATACATAAGTAGCTAGTTCTCTTTCTTATATAAAAAAAGTGAATATTACTTTGGGCCATATAATTCGATAAACAATTATGTACGTTTAAACCATTATGTTCGATACAAATAAAACATCAATCTCGATAGTCAAATAATGAATGAGTAAACTGAGTACTTTTTTGGGCCATAAACATCTGCAGTTATTTTCGTTTTATACGTTTTGACTTAACATAAAATCATGTAAGAGAAATGAGAGAGTATCGTCAAGAATTAATTATTGTTGTATATAGGGATAATGTTTCTTTTTTCGTTTTAGCTAGTCTCATGCATTGCTAATAATATATTATTAATTGTATTGGAAATAAAATATATATTGTTTTGTGCATCCTTGAATTTCTTGATCTTGAGTTATAGTACCAAGTGTCAATTAGTAGATTTTGAGTAACTTAAATGAAATATAGTATTAAGATTTTGCAGTCATCTGCCTAATTGCGATCAACATTCTGGAGTATAATAACCAAAAACACAAGTTCGTAATGAAAAAAGGTTCGTGAGATGATTATTGGATCTACGAGTTTATGTATAAAGAAACATTATTTGCATAACAAGATGGGTCCCTAATTAATACTCTAAAATAAGTCTCTGACTCTGATACAAAAAATCAAAAATATGTCTCGAGTAATATACTATTTGACCTGGTCCCTATTAATTAGAATGATTGGGGGAAAATAAATAAATTGAAAACTATCATAAATACTTCTCTAAAGCAAATAATTATGATAGTTATATTCAAAATCTTCAGCTGTTTTTAATGGAATATGTTCCAAGGTGTTGTTACATTGCAGGTAAACTTGAAATGGGCATGCTAAAGTGTATACAACTCAATTTTACTTGAAGCCTACTTAACATACTTTTCTCTGTTAATTTATACAACCTTCAAAAGAGGACTTGTACAAATATATCTTAGAGATTCGGGTAATTGAGCAAACATTTGTTTCATTTCCTCTAAGCTCATGTTAACTAACCAACACAGAAGGTCTTGGAACAACAGTTGTGCTGTAGCGATTTCTCTATGTGCACATGGATGATCAATATCAAGAAGACAAGGCATTCGCTTAGTGAGTTCATCAAGGGTCTCGAGTTATGCTGTCTTCTTGCTTTTACTCAATAGTATGGACAGAGGCTTGTCTCGTAATATGTCCTGCAAGATGCAAAAAGTTCAATCATCTTCTTCTATTCAATTGTATGTGTTTCGTGTAGAACAAGTTCAATAATCTCTCAGATTATCCTTGCAAACTATGTGCTATGTGTACTAATACACAACAATTATATTTAACAAAACAAAAAAAACAAAGATTACTCAGCGAAAAGAAGAGTCCAAGAAAGACATTAAATATACAAATTCTTGAATAAAAATATGTTGTACATTTTCCCAAGATGCTAAACAATGATACTAATTCGGCTACTAAGAACATCTCTCTTCACGTAGCTCTCCTCGGAAGTCTCATACCAAACCCACGCTTCAACTTCTCAATCCTACACCATCCAAAACAAACCAGACATAACTAACTTTCATTGTCAAGAAAGAAGAGCAGGGCACTAAAGCAAAAGTGATGTAAAAGAAAGACTTACGTCGGGGCGAGTTTTCCGAGGCAATCGAGCTCTTCACCGGTGTCTTCATCGATGACTCTACCCGTAATGTCAACAATGTATGATCTATCTCTGTCTGGAGGAAGACCTCTAGCTGCAAGCAAGTCTAAATCTTTACGGTGAAGCTCTCTTCCGTTTACAAACACTCCAGTAGTTCCACCTGCGCAATTCTCTGGCATCGGGTAATTTAGCTCTTCTATGAATGGCTGCAACAAAAAAAGGTTTTGAAGAAGTATAGTCACAGATCAAGCCAAGAGAGCTAAGGTGTTAGCTCGAAGAAGGTGG